CTTTGACGTGATTGCAGGCGTATGCGCCTAATTCAGAATGAAAATATGAGTTCTTTTTGGAGTAATTTTAAGTTGCTCTGTACGAAGTTCCAATTATGAAATCCGTCATTCTGATTGACAATTTCAGTGCGCATGTCGGATCAGATATTGAAAAGACGTGGTAATCGTAATTGAAAGAACGGCCCTAGCAACCTAAGCATTGGTGGCATGAAATTGATGCATTTTTGTACAAACAATGAACTATAGGCGTGATGAACCACAACAACGTCATTGACTTGGTTCACAGACTGTCACGAGAAGTAGAGAAGTTAGCCTGCAGAATGGCTGCGACAGGTATGCGGAAACGTCAATGCCTTTGCGGAGGGTTAAGAAACAACACAGAAATGGAAGGTTGCATAAATGGCCGATTTACGATATGTATATGGTATTTGCTCTATACGCTACTTATATCATTGACAGTGATACTTGAAAACATCGTAAAAGCCGGTTTAATTATTCGTGTTATAGTTTATTTATGAATTTCTACCGACATGACCTACTGTCTGGCCTAACTTGATAAGGTATAAAGGGCTTTCTTTCGTTTGTCGTTGATGTGATTCGCATCAGCTTGCAGACTCGACCTGTACCCTTACAGCTTCGGAACAAGCGGGTTTCTCCAAGTCTTATTGTTCAGCAGTTTCCGTTTCAGTGACAGGCCTTAATGGCTACCATCACTTCGAATGAGTTCTCGCGTTTCACCGCATTTCGTCAAACTGCGATACATGTTTTATTTGAATATCGTCCATTGTTCACGACTGGAATATGAGGTTGGACTTGAAAGGACTATATACATATATAAGCATCGTTTTGATGATGACCTTACAGATTAAACTCGCTAAGTTTCTGTTTCTTATCAGCCGCGTTTCCGCATGTTTTTCAATTTCGTTTGTGTGATGCGTCAAAAGTGAATGTGCCTAATCAGTTTGTATTGTAGAATAGACGACGCCTACACACGGCATCACTTCAAAGGACCTTTCTTGCATAATGACAGTCTGCTGCCGAAGGCTCTGTTTAGGCATTTGCGTGAAGCACAAGTAAGCGACGGCTACTGCTGTGACCAGTGGACGCCATCGGTGACGTATGTGTTACGTTGATGTTTGGACCCTAGCGACGTTCCATGTGCATGGCGGCAGTGATGCCTAACGAGAAATCACCGATCCGCAAAAGCGGCGGTAAAATTCGTCTGGCTAAACAGCTTGAAGTTGACGAGGGCATTACATCGCTGAAGACAAAACTGCGTCTAAGCGACAGTGAAAACGAAAAGTCCTCTGCTGCTCTAACGGTAAAAACTGGCCTTTTAATTAAGTTCATTTTCGCACTTCTCATTATTTAATGTAGTGTTGTGATTTATTGAAATTCTTTTACATTTGAGCCGCTAGCTCCATGTCATGCAAAGCTGTTTTGGACCATACTAGGGCAGCTTATTTTCTTGGTTGAAGTATGCATAGCGCCAGGACACTGGCTGAAAGTCTGAACAGGTAAACTCGCATTTGCAGTGCTTACCAGTCTTGAAGAAATTGGCGAAATTTTGGGATGCTTTCTGAACGGAGGCCGGCGATTCATCCATGAACTGTATGGAAAGTAAGATCGACACGAATCTAGGCAGACATCGAACGTCACATATTCAGTGAAGGTAGTGCACAAAAATTGTGCATCGGGTCTTTAGTCTCCTGAAGCCAAGGTGGTATTTATCGTATTTCCGAATCATGCAGTCAGCTATTGCCCAGCTGAAAATGCATTTCAGTTTTGTTGGCTGTTTTCAGGCGAATAGTTTTGCAGCTAAACACATTTTTTGCTTCAAGCTATTTTCAGTCAGGTAACACCAAATTCCCAACTGCCTTTATGATCACATCTGCATCCACCTGATATACTGTTAATTTTTTTACCTAACGAAGAACAACAATTTTTCTCACTATGCTGCTTTTTACATTCTGTTACTATGTCTTATGGATACGTTGTAAAATGTGGCACCCATAAATTCATCTAAATCTGTCGAACAAATTCATTAATAGAAAAAACATCGATAATTGCAAATTTATCGTAAATTTAGACTCAGTAAATGAGCATTTGAGCTTTAGAAAAAGACACCCTGAGACTCTTGCCCCTGGTCATTGTTCGCCGTCCCGGGGTCTTCGGAAAATGAGTTCAGCAAGTAATAGTTGTTTCGCCTTCCCTTATGGAACCATTCGCAAGAATGCCCAAACTGCTCTCTTTGACGTCCCAGTCTGGAGAAACAGCGGCTGTGCACCAAGGCTCTTTCGGATATGTGTACTCCGGACCATTTCGAGACGCATGAGCCATTTTCATCAGATTGTACCCAAGGTCGAAGTTTTCCAGTCATGACCCATGACTCATGGCCGTCGATGAGCGCTGAGATGAAGATCGACTTGAAAACAGACAGCTCAGTCTCTAGACTCAGCGCCGCCTTAGTCATAACGATACATGTTATGTTACGCAGAATGCTGGTTATTCCAGTCCGCCGGTCGATCTCTTTCTCCCATTTTTTTACCAGGATACTTGAATTTCTCCACCTGCTGCACTGCTTCTCCGTTTACTTTCAAAAGATGTCAACAAAAGAAGGTCGTCTGCAAAGAGCAACCTCACTTGTCGCCGCTGTTGCGCTTGATTATCCAATCCATGTACAACATAAGCAGGAGAAGGGTCAGATCCGTATCCGCAGAGGATGATGTTTCTCATTTAACTCTCTGGTTGCTTCCTCTCCGCATTGTACTGCATTTCTTACACAGCATAGCGTGCCAACAACAAGGTGATGATCGTTTGATAGCTCTCCGCCTCTCTTAACTCGAACATCTATTACAGAGCGTCTTAAGTCAGATGATACGATTATCAGATCGATCTTCGACTTCTGTGTTTAAGCTTGTTTGCATCAGGAATACTGAAGCGTACTTTGGTGCTCAAAGGATGTATTCGTAACAGATAGCCTGTTGTTTGAACAAAGCCACAATAACTTACCGTTATTTTTGAGGACGATGAGCTTGTTCTTTTCAATCACGCGTTTCCATTTTTTGCCGAGAGATGCGTATTAAATTCTTCATTATAATGGGGGACTCCGTAGTCGGCATTTCCTACAGAGCACCATCCACTTCTAAAAGGAAGTACTCATATTTCCCATATAAATTTGGCGGATACACCTCTAATAAGGTCAAATCTTTAGCCTGTTGTAGCTGCAGTCGAAGGATTGCCACTCTTCCGCTAATAGGCTTCCATTCAATGATTCTGTCAGCCGGATTGGGTTCTACCAGAACGCCAACACCGGCCTGAGCGCGAGTCGTGATATCGACATCCGAGTAGAATAGCATCCACCCGCAGAGGTTCAGAATTTCAGAGTTTTGGCGCTTCTTTGACAAGAGTCTAACTATGTCGAGCTGATACCTTGCGATCTCACCAACTAGCTTCTGCTCTTTTCCCCTGATGTTCCAATTTCCAACTGTAAGCTCACAGTGTCGGTGTCGTTACCGTGAAGCCTTTTCTGACCTACCCTATAGGCATCGCATTGTCTGCCTCCAACATTCAGAATGGGTAGCGACTCAGTTGCTGACTGGCATTTTCTTCGTCATTTCGTCGATCTTCCACAGACGTTGTTGTGCTGCTACGCCTTCGGCTGCGAAAGGCGTGAAACAGCTTATGATCACCGACTTTTCGCACAACCTGGCTCGGTTTCTCAAGCACCTTCCAGGCCCTTGGTAACCCGGATGATGTTTTGTCTCGTATAGGGTAGAGTGGCTTAATAATTTTACGTGGCCATGTTTTACGAGACACTTCGACACGGTTTCCAGCCGTCGTTTCTCATCGAAGCTTAGAACTTGCAGCAGCGGAATTGTGATAATTCCAAATTTAAAAAACTTATTACCCGGTTCAAAACATCGACTGAGCTGATTTTGAATAACTGGATATGAAGTTTTGTAAAATATTCTGTAAGGTAGTGGGTTGCGGTCAAACGCCTAACTACTACTTTTGCGTAGATAAAACGATTGATTTCTGCAGGTACGTGATACTGTACTAGTTATCAGTAGCGTCGAGAATAATGAATAGTTTCCCTCTCACAAAATGCATATTTACTAGGCCCTGGACTCTCGGTTACGCAGTGGATGCATTACCGACCTTTCGCGCGACTAAAAGTTTCCCTGAAAGGCACTCAGACTGATTTTTCGTTGTATTATCATATGATTTTACATATTTCAGGATTATTATCGACATTGTTTCTTTAGGTTTATTGTTTTGTGTAAAATAATTTTGAATTCGAGCTAAACTTTTTCTACGCATTGTATGTAAAAATTTTCGGCCGTCGCAAAAGAAGGTATTATTACAGGTGTGGCACAGGCATTAACAGTTTTTTTCTGCGAGGTGGGGGGGGGTGGCTATGTGAAATAAATTATTTTTGACCTATATTTGATGTTTTTAATGTCTGTTTCGTATTGTGCAAACATGCCTTGACATACGTAAATTTGGAGTTAAGCAAGTTATCCTAAAATGAATGTGAAAAGTTTTACTTAATGATCAACGTTAATCTCACGCCACTTAACAGTGGTCTTCCGCAAGGTTATGAATAGAATTCTTGATTTAATGGTCCGAGGCTTTTGAATGTTATGTGGTATTTATCTAGCGATACAATACATTGCACAAGTATAGTGAGAGGTTGCGCAAAAATATGAATTCGATTTTGAAAATAATTTATACGTCTTTTTTGCGGTGTTTCGGTCAAGACGAATCTTTTCAAGAATTGATTGAAAAAATGAATAAACTTGTTGAACAACTAGAACTACAAGTTGATGTAAGTGTGATATCGAAGAATCGATTGCTTCGCATGAGGATGAATTATTAAATGAAGAATTCATTGTGTTAAAAGTATCGAAATTTTCTGGAGTTGAGGCTTTAGAATCAGACGAGAAACCGAAGCTTTTCCCTGACAAAAGAGATGATAATCCCGTTCCGCGAGATTTCTGCAAGAATGGTATCACTGACAAAGATGAATCCTAATACCTCAAAGTTCTTGAAAAACTAAAGTGAAATTTATGGCGCTTTAACATGGCATAGAGTGTGATTTCTGTTGAGAAGAAAGAAGCCGATGTTTAATAGTCTTTTAATAAGGAAGGTCGAACGGTTAAATTAAGCATTTTTCAATTTGTTTCATTTTCTCCTGATATATTCTGTTTATACTGCATTATATTGCTTTGCATTAATAGTTACATATTGAAACCCAATTTGTGTGAGCCTCCTGTGAATGAGGCTAATACAGATTACCTTGAAAACTTGTTGATATGCTGCTCTATGCTCGACTGCCAACAGGTGAAAAATTCGGTGTTATTAATGGTTAGGGAAGGGTTAAATTTGACTTACGACGTTAGATTCATGTTACGTAGAGGTTTGCGAAACTTAAATCTTTTTTAAGTCCAGGTCTATTTATAAATTAAGCACTGTGACAAGAGGGTAACTTTTTCAAAGCGGCACTCATGTAAAAATCCTTTCGTATGTCAGTAGGTTATAGATTTTTTCAACAATATAGGTTATTTAAAATGAAAATTGATTTTTTGCACAGCACCGAAATTGAAACAGTTTTTAATTTAAAAAAAACGGTAGTGCCAAATTTAGCTCGAATGTTTCAAGCAGTATTTCTCATTTCTTCAGCAGCATCTGTACTACTTCTCTGTCTGTAACAGTTTCAGTATATGAAACATTTGTGATCATGACCCGTGCACAGACAGTACTGAGGAAATACTGTTCGAAGCGTTCAGGTTGAGTTTTGTAGAACTATCTTTAGTAAAAATTTACGATCTCGAACTCATGCTGACATTGCGACCGGATTACGTTCAAACTGAATGCTATGGCATTTCAATTATATTCTTATCTTATGATCTGCTCTGATTTTCTCTATCTCCTTAGGAATCACATCTGGCGCTGTTTATACGGCTTCATGTTTGTGGTTCATTTGCAGTCAGCCTCAGATATCAAATTCAGCGCCGATATTTCTTCGCCACTAATTATCATTTACTTTTTGCTTCATTCATCATTGGAAGTCTGAATTATTTCATGGACAATACTACGGTCATTCACTTGCGGCCTTGTTGAGAAATCGCATCCTATGAAATTGCTCCGTCAACTGATTGAACACATTCCCATCGTTGTTCTTCTTGGTTTACGATTATTGACGATTACAGTTCTCTGAATAATACATTTGTTGTTCAGGTTGTCCACTGCTTTAGATCCCAGTCAGTCGACATAATTTGAGGCTTTTTAGCGAAACATTACGCCGTTTTGAATTGATTCCCGATCCTCTGATTTGGTTTAAGGTCGTATCTTATTTAAGACAATACATATAGTGGTAAATCGTATTCGTAGACCGCCCATTGCGATTCCAGTTCGTCGATGAAAATACATGGACTTCTGGCAGGACACTGTTTGGCACTGCAACGGTTTTAATTTTTCGCATTTTGTGGTAGCTCTCCTCAGTTGCTGAAGGCGCCACCCATGGGCAGCTGGATCCTCAGTGTTAGTTATTACTGATATCTTTCTGACATACCATATTTGCTGCAACTATTCTTTTTGCGCAGTTCAGTTTCAAACGTATCACCTCTGCTGTAGTTCGGTCGTAAGACTTCTGAATATCTGCTCATA